ATATATATATATATTGCTCTTGTGGCATTCCTTCCTCAATATTCTGTATTAAACCAACTATTCAGATGTTCTATTTTGTCTCCTAAAAATATACATCTAGTTTCAGAGCAGTCTGCAGGGGGCTGGGGAGTTGACTAAACATGTGTTGCACTGGTGCAATATAAACTCCACTCCTTAACATATATGCACATGATGTTAAAATGCAAGTACAAAACAGCTGAGTCTGTGTCATGACATTATGATATGTGTTTCTTCATTTTGTCATCTTCACTGTTATAAATGGATGTTTATCACTGATCTCCCATCAAAGTAATTTCCAGAAATTACTTGGAGCAGTGCTGTAGTATTGCCAGTTACAACTGAGTTCAGAAAATACCAAAGACTCTGTTAATTGCCACTGACGTTCCAGAAAGTGGAGGTAGCTGCTGTACATATAATTTACTCAAAGCAAGGTCTACATTGACCTTTTTAAAAGTGCATACTCAATTACTGCTCAATTAACAGTCAAAAATCTGTAGAAGCGGAAGATTATTTTATACTGTAATTTATTTACATATCCACTGATTTGTTTGTCAAAGCACTTCTATTAACTGCCAGCTTTGCTTTTTTACATTAATTTTCACCAGTTCAGTCATGACAGCAGTTGTCACTCTGTAAGAATTGTTGAAAATAAAAAAAAATCTTCACATTTTTCAAATACGCTATTTCTGAAAGTCAGAAATTACTTAATATAGGAAACGTAGTTTTGGAGTCTATATCGACAAATCTAATCAATCCTTGAATCTCTAAAGCTTTTCTACAGCAAATTTTGGTTGAATGTAAAGAGAAGCTTCCTTTCCACAAAATACATAATTGCTCATATAGACTTCTCTTCATACTTTAGTGATAGTTGTTTGTTTCCCTGCCACACTCCTTGGTCACTTTCTCCCCTTGATTGTAACCAGTCTTAAGAAGACTTTGCCATAGAAAGTTGATGTATCAACAGGAATAGCAACTGCAGATAAATGAAACAATTGGGTTTAGAAGCCTTGGAGATTTTGAGTAAATGGCCTTACTTTCACTGTTTTTTGTTAGCTTTTAGAGGCTTCTAACCAGCCATTGTTGGAGAATACTAGACTACACAGATTGTAATAGCAATCATAGAAAGATCAGCAATGCAAAATCTTCACATCCTATTTAGGAAAAGATCCTATTGCTGCAAAACAATGTATCAGGATAAAGTTGCACTTAAGTGTTTTGTCTTATTCTTTTACATTTAAAAGGCAAATATTAAATAACCCACTTCTGTCCCTTTTGGACATTTGGCTTGTTTGTTTGGTGTCTTCGAGTCAGTTTTTGGCTCCTGGCGACTGCTTGGATAAGTCCCTGCAGTTTTCATAGCAAGATTTCGGAAGCGGTTTGCCACTGCCTGCTTCCTAGGGCTGAGAGGAAGTGAGTGGCCCAGGGTCACCCAGCTGGTTTTGTGCATAAGGCAGGACTAGAACCCATGGTCACCTGGTTTGTAGCCTGGTATCTTAACCACTGCACCAATACTAGTAGTATAAATTATTAGGAAAACATCTGTTTGTGTATCAAGGCTGGACTAGAACTCCCGGACTCCCGGTTTCTAGCCTACATTTTGCTAGACATTAGTAAATCTCAACATTTTGTTGAAAGAAAAGGAAAACTACATATCCAAAGATAAACAGCTGTCCTACATTGACAATAATATTGTATTAGGCAAAAGATTCAAACTGGTAGCAGCAGAGGGAAAGACTTACTGCAGTTATCACATATCTAAAAGTCTCTCAAAAAGCAGAAAAATAATATTTCATACAGAACAGCACTGGTTCCATCTTCAGCAAACAGATTTAGTTTAGCTATCAGTAAACTTCCTACTTCTTAAAAACAGCAAGTGCAGAAGCCGGTAAGAGAACTGCAATGTTTCCTACTGTTTTCATTGCTACTATGAGTATCAGCAGATGTTTCCAAGATGTCTTAACTATCTTATGCACAGTTTTTTTAAATATATTAGAATGTCACTGCATGGGGACAAAATAGATGTTGGTATATTTCAGTCTCAATAAATGCTGCAACTTCTAATAAGAAACTTCTTTATTAAAAAGATAAGTATTAATAATACTGTTCATTATAAAAAAAACTGCCAGTCTCTGAAAGGCAGCAGAACAAAAAATGATAACTGATGCCAGAGAAAATGAATAGCCAATCAGCATGGAGAATCCAGAATCTGTTGAAGTTTTTACCCAAAAATATTGATATATTTATCCACTATTGGAACAGAAAAAAACAGCAAGATATTATTATTATTATTATAATTTTCACCAGTTCAGTCATGACAGCAGTTGTCA